CATGTATGCACACACCTACAATAAATATAAATCTTTTTTTAAATGAATTTATTTATTTATTTATTATGTATACAATATCCTGTCTGTATGCCTGAAGGCCAGAAGAGGGCGCCAGACCTCTTTACAGATGGTTGTGAGCCACCATGTGGATGCTGGGAATTGAACTCAGGACCTTTGGAAGAGCAGGCAAAGCTCTTAACCACTGAGCCATCTCTCCAGCCCCAATATAAATCTTTTTTGCTTGTTAGTTTGTTGAGACAAGGTCTCTTGTCTCTTTCTCTATTATAGCTCTGGCTGTCCTCAAACTCATAGAGATTTGCCTGCCTCCTAAGTGCTAGAATTAGACATGTGTCACCTGGCCTAATATATGTATTTATATTTTAGAAAGTGTTTCTCTGTGTAGTTCTGGCTGTCTCAGAGTCACTATGCCAGAGTAGGCTGGTCTTGAACTCACAGAGATCTATCTGCCTCTGCCTCCTGAGTGCTGGGATTAAAGGCGTGCGCCACCATACCCTTTTGTTTGTTTGTGCTTATCTTTATTTATTTAGAGATAGGGTTTTTCTGTGCAACAGTCCCTAGCTATCACAGAACTAGCTCTTATAGACCAGGCTGGCCTCAAACTCAGAGATCCGTCTGCCTCTGCCTCCTGAGTGCTGGGATTAAAGAAAGGTGTGTGCCATCACTGCCCAACTATGTGCTTATCTTTTCAATTAAATAAAAAGAAAGAAAGGAAGAAAGAAAACGACACAATATCCTAAAGCTAAAGTCTATTGAATTCCACTTGTTTTTTCACAAGTACTGGTCATATTTTAGTAGCCCCTGGATGAGGGTCAAAGTTTTAGAAACAGCATCTGATAAAAAGATATGAAAAGGGCTGGAGAGATGGCTCAGAGGTTAAGAGCACTGCCTGTTCTTCCAAAAGTCCTGAGTTCAATTCCCAGCAACCACATGGTGGCTCACAACCATCTGTAATGGGGTTTGGTGCCCTCTTCTGGCCTGCAGGCATACACACAGACAGAATAAATAAATAAATATTAAAGCGGGCGATGGTGGCGCACGCCTTTAATCCCAGCACTCGGGAGGCAGAGGCAGGTGGATCTCTTCTCTGTGAGTTCGAGACCAACCTGGTCTACAGAGCTAGTGCCAGGACAGGTTCCAAGGCCACAGAGAAACCCTGTCTCGAAAAAACCAAAAAAAAAAAAAAGACACCCTAGCTTTGGAGAAATCTATTCACGTTTAAAAATAAGTCAACTTCCCACTTTTGCTTGTCAAAAATAATAATCTATAAGATGTCTACAGATAACAGATCACTTGATGGGAAGTAACAGACCATGGAAACTTCTCTGACTCGCTTCTAAAACCTTTAAATAACAAAACAGCAGTGGCAGGAAGGACAGGAGGTAAAATCCTGAGGCTCATACTGGCATGAAATTTAAAGTCACTGCTTTTTTCTACAACTGACCTAGCTGGAGTCACAAAACAGCCTCTTGAGCAGCTGGGCCTGGGGGTTCATACCCACCATCCCAGCAATTGGCAGAATGAGGCACAAGATTGTGGTGCATTCCAGAACAGAAAAGAGGAAGAAAGAACACTTATCTACTTAAATGAAGACTCCTCAGTTTCCAGTCCAACAATCAGTGTTATCTCCAAATTCATGAAACTAAGTTTGTTCCATAACACAGAAGAAAGAGTATTTATTCTCAAGGAAGTAGGTGAAGTATAAACCAGTATTAATATTAGTACTGGATTTCTGGATCAAACACCATTGGATATGTAAAGTGCACACAAGCTTAATAACTGGGTGTAAACTGCCTCGGCTGATGAACACTCCATCAACTCAACACTAGCTATCTAACTCGAACCTATAATAAGCCAAGACAAGGGCTCACTGTCATTTTCATTATTAAAACTACTAAATTGGCTTAAGCCTCCTGCAAAAGCCCCAGTTTTCAAGGTAGTCTTAGACCTCCAAGAAAACCTAATTTCTATACTGCTACCAGTCTCCTTAAATTGTGCAATGGTTGCTCAGGAAACAAGAAAAGCCGAGTTCTACAGCACAGAAGACAAGGCCCTTGTGACCAGATCTTCCCCACTTTTTCATTTCTGTTGTGTGCAGTTCCATGTGAATGTCACACTTAGCTGTAATGGTCATGTGCCCTCTCTGTTTCTAAATCACACTGGCCTGCACTCAGTGCCACGGTATACCATGACCAGTGGCCAGGCCACTGACCATTCTTTTCTAGGCATAGAATACACTTTAACCACTGCTTCATTCTAACCCTCAAGCTCCGTTTTGCCTTAGAAAGCCTTCCTAAAACTCCAAATTAGTCAGACATATTACACTACCACTGTGTCAGTCTTCATAGTTCACAACTACATGTTACGACACTCCGTCCATCCCTCAAAATGAACCTAGGGCCTCACAACATGCTAAGGCAAGTGCACTACCAATGAGATATAGTCCAAGTTCCACTAGCTTTTAAACGTGTGTAGTAAGGGTAGGGACACTGTCTGCTTTGCTTATCATTTAATTCCTGGTGATTCACATAGAGTATGCAAACATCAACAGGCAAGCAAAGGATCCCTTCAGTGAAATTTTTTTATTTTTATTTTTATTTTTTATTTTCGAGACAGGTTTTCTCCGTAGCTTTTTTTGGTTCCTGTCCTGGAACTAGCTCTTGTAGACCAGGCTGGTCTCGAAATCACAGAGATCCACCTGCCTCTGCCTCCCGAGTGCTGGGATTAAAGGCGTGTGCTACCACCGCCCGGCTGTGAATGAATTTGTTATAAAAGGCCTAATTAATTCTTTTTATGTGCATACCCTGAAGGCCAGATGTCCACACTGTCTGTATCATCCCCTACCTTACTTTCTGAGATAGTGTCTCTCATTGAACCTGGAACTCACCAGCTAGCTAGATTGGCCAGTGAACCCTTGGGATCTGCCTGTCCCCTCCCTCCCAATTCTGGGGTTACAGGTACACACTGCAATCTGTCTTTTTATATAAGGGTTGCAGATCGACTTCAGACCTTCATGCTTACAGAACAAGCACTTTACCCACTGAATCTCATTCCACATTGCCCCCTCCTTTTTTTTTTTTAATTTATGTGTGCATGTGGTATGTGTTTAAATAAGAGGACCATTTGTGGGTGTTTGTTCTCTTTCATTATGTGGATGCTGACACTTGAACAGGCTTTCAAATTGCCATTCTTCTTCCTTTTCCCACTGATATAGTTCAGGATCCCAGCCAGTGGGCCAACCACAGTGGGCAGGTGGTTCCATCTTGATTCTAGATCAAGCTGACAACTGATATTAACCATCATGAGCATGTACCTCAAATATCACTGCTATAGTTTAGTTTATATATGACTTGTTTGTTAATGGTTCATACCCTGGAGGCTTGATCCCCAGTAAGCAGTATTCTATAAAAAAGCAGGCCATGGTTCTGCATGTCTGTAATCACTCATGTTCCCGGAGAGGTAGAAGCAAGAGGACTAGCAGTCATAAGATCTGTCTCAGTTACATAGAGTTTGAGGCCAGTCTCAGTTATAGGGAATGTCTAAACAAAACAAAAATCAACCAAACAATAAAAATGGTATAGAAAAGTAGTTGGAACTTTAAGGGGAAGGACCTCATAGGAGTAATGACCACCTTCAGAATGGATTAATGGTGTCAGCACAGTAATTTATGAGGAAGCAGATTCTCACAAAGGGTAGCTGCCCCTCCTGACTCTTCTGCTTCTGCTTTTTTTTTTAATATTTATTTATTATGTATACAACATTCTGCCTTCATGTACGCCCGCACACCAGAGGAGGGCGCCAGATCTCATTACAGATGGTTGTGAGCCACCATGTGGTTGCCGGGAATTGAACTCAGGACATCTGGAAGAGCAGCCAGTGCTCTTAACCACTGAGCCATCTCTCCAGCCCCCTGCTTCTGGGTTTTAAACATTCTCATAAGTAGCTGGGTCCTCTTCTGAATCTTCACCATACTGTGACATGGACCTCATTAGACACTGGGGTTGTTGTGCTGTTTGGAGTTTCTAGCCACCAGAAGCACAGACAAAATAAACCTCTTTGGGTGGAGTGGAGTGAGGGCTAAGACAGAACATAGTCTTGGATGACCTAGAGTTTACTATGCAGACCAGGCTGGCCTCAAACTCATGGAGAGCCACCTGCCTCTGCCCCTTGAGTGCTGGGATTACAGGTGCACACCACCACACCCACATAAAGTACCCATCTTCTCAGATACTTTGTTAAAGCCACACAAAATAGACTAGGGCAATCACAAATCCCACTAATGTCAGGAAGCTGTATAAAGGTCTCAGAAAATGAAGGTAAGAATAGAAATTCATTTTCTGTAGCAAGCAGACTGAACAAGCATTCACACTTTAATAAGGTAGTTTTGCTGGGCATGACAGCACACACTGCAGGCAGGAGGACCAACAATAAGACGCTGAATGAATGAATAAGTCTTTTGGGGGGGGGTAGTTGTTGTTTTAGAGACAAGGTATCCCTGTGTTTTCTAGTCTGACTTTGAATTCCTGAGTTCAACTGATCCTCCTGCCTCAGTCTTCCAAGTACTAAGTAAGGGTTTGAGGCATCAAGCCCACGAGAGTCTGTTTAAAAGTGCCTATTATCAAGAGTTTTCTTTTTTCTTTGTTAAGGTTTATTTATTTTTATTTTATGTGTATGAGTGTTTGCCTGCGTGTATGTACCTGCAGCACATTTATGAGAGGTATAGGCAGCAGTTGTGGAGACCAGAAAAGGGTGATGGATCCCCTGGGACTAGAGTTACAGACGGTGGTAAGCTGCCACGTGGGTGCTGGGAATCAAACCTGGGTCATCCTCTGCAAGAGCAGCAAATGAGCGTAACTCCTGGGCCATCTCTCCAGCCCTCAAGGGTTCTAGTAGATCTGTCTATTATTCACCATAGACAGTATCAAGATGGGAAACATATCATGTGCCAATGGGAGACTTCTGAAATTATAGCAGCTGTTTACCTTTTTCTGTGCCTGAGAATATGGAGATAATTTTGTTCCTGGGTTTCTTTTCCTCTGGAACAGAAGGCAAAGGTTTCAAACTGTGATTGGCCGATAAAGGATCTTTTCCTCCGGTGCTAAAAATGGTACTGCTCATTCGCACAGGAGGTGCTGGAGGCTTGTCTTCTAGTTCTCCGTTATCAGACATGATGATTCAGAATTATGAAATGGCCTGGAAGAGAGGCAGCATGCAAAACATTCAATTAATAACAAGGTTAAAGACAGCACAGACAGTAATCACTACAATTGCAAATTAGAAAATGTGATCCAGTTAGTTACATTAGCAAAATCTGGGTAAATACATGATAAAAGATAAAACAAACTTGCCTCAATAAAACCAGTCTGCACTGAATGCTTGAAGAATATGTTCACACTAACACATTACAAGTGATTTAACTAACCAATGATTCTGAGATGATTCCAAAATAAAAATGAACATGTTTGTGTGTTGTCTCATTTTGGTCAACATGACACAAACTAGAATCACCTGGGAAGAGAAAACCTTAACTGAGGAACTGCCTCCATCAGACTGGCCTGCGGGCAAGTCTGAAGGTAGTTTCATGACTAATAACAATGTAGGAGGGCCGACCGAGCCCACTCTGGGCAGTGCCTCCTCGGGCAGGTCCTGGGAAAGCAAATTGCGCACAACATGGGGAACAAGTCAGTAAGCAGCATCCCTCCCGCGCCATTCCTTGATAGCAGAGTGCAATCTATACATCAGCCTTTTCTTTCTTTCTTTCCCTTTCTCAATTTGCTTTTGGTCAATATCTTGTTTTAAATTTTTCATAAGGTATCCGTGTTTTGCCACAGCATTAGAGAAGCAAATTAGAAAAATTCATTTTTTAAACGTTTTTATTGTAATGTGTTGTGTTTTTCCTCTGTGTGTGTCTGTGTGTGTGGGCACAAGCGCCCACCAGAAGCCAGAAGAGGGCGTCAGATTCCCTGGAACTGGAGTTACAGACAGTTGTGAGCACCATGTGGATGGATACTGGGGATCAAATCCAGATCTTCCCAACAGCAGCCATGCTCTTATCTACCAAGTCACCTCTCCAGCCAGTTTGATTTTAAATAATTAGGCCTAGAACTCCTAGGGCTCCTCCTGCTCCAGCCTCACAAGCTCTAGGATTATAGGCATAGCATGCCACATAATATGGAGTCTTAAGAAAAACTGATTTCTGCAGGGAACAGCCACACTGGATATCTCTGGTAGGTCTACTGTCAGAAGCAGAGATGGCCCTTGGCTCTCCTTTTTATGTGCATGGATGTGCACACATGCAACGAAGGCCAGAAGTGGATAAAGGTGTCTTCCTCAATAACTCTATACCTTCTATTTTTCAGACAGGGTCTCTTATTGAAGCCTGAACTCAATAACGGGATCGAATGGATGGCTAGCAAGCCCCAAGGATCCCCCTGTTTATACCTTCCTAGTACTGGGAGTGTAACAAACACCTGGGGTTTTCTGTTTGGTTGGTTTTGGTTTTTCAAGACAGGGTTTCTCTGTAGCTCGGAAGCTACATACACACACACACACACACACACACACACACACACACACACACCCCACTCACACTGGTCTTAAAAACAAAAAAACAAAAAATGGGAAGAATAATCATAAAAGTTTACATGGAAGCACAAAATACCAAGGGAGCCAAAATAATCCTTAGCAAAAATAAGAATGTGGGAGGTAACACCACACCTGAGCTTAAGTTACACTACAGAGCCGTGGTACTGGCACAAAAACAGACACACAGATAAACAGAATAGAAGACCCAGATATCAATCCCACAGATAAAAACACCTGATTTTTGACAAAGATGTTAAAAATATACACTGAATAATAGATAGCCTTTCAACAAATGGTGCTAGGAAACTGGATGTTCATATACAGAAGAATTTCATATTTAACTTTCACAAAAGTCAACTCCAAATGCATGGAAGATCTTAATGTAAGAACTGAAATTCTGTAACCGCTAGAGGAAAAAAGATTCCAATACTGATGTAGGCAAGGATGTTCTAAACAGGGAAACTCTGCTAGCTATATAACTTATAGAGGTTTAATATCAAACAGCTATGTTCGTTGTCATCTACAAAGCAGAACTGAATCTCTGTCTCCCTCTGTCTCTGTCTCTCTCTCACACACAAGAGATTAAAAAAAATCATAATCTTTGAACTAAGTTTAATATTTTGTTTTGGGTCTCTTTCTATCCATGTGGCCCATGAACCACAGGTTGGACATGCCTGACAATATACAAACTAAAAAACCTAAATAACAAGAAATCAAACACCCTAATCAATACATGGGCTAATGAAATGAACAATTCTCAAAATCAAAATACAGGACAGTGGGGTGCCCCAGCAGGTAGACGTGCTTGAATCCAGGTCTGACATTTTGACAACACTACAAAGTGACAGGAAGTAAACTGAATTCCAACCATCTCCTCTGGTACTGCTGTTACAGTCACAAACACACGCACACAAAATAAATCTGAAATACAAACAGCAATAAACATAAAAAATATCCAACCTTAATAAACCATCAGGGAAAAGCAAATCAAAGCTAGGCTGAGATTCCAGCTTAACACTTGTTAAGAACAGCAGTCACTAAGAAAACAAGTAACAATACATGCTATCTGAGAGTCCAAAGGGAGCCCCTTCAGCATTACTGGTTGGAGTGTCCAGTCATTATGAAAGCAACCATGGTCGAAGAATGGGACGAGTGAGAACATGAGCAAAGAGGTCACGACCATGATGGGGACACCACTGAAACAGCTCACCTGAGCTAATGGAAGCTCACCAACTCCAGCTGGACAGGGAAGGAACCAGCACAGGACCAAACTAGATCTTCTGAATGTGGGTGACAGCTGTAGGGCTGGGGCAGACTGAGAGGCCACTGGCAGTGGCACGAGACTTATCCCTACTGCTTGTACTGGCTTTTTGGAACCCGTTCTCTTTGTAGGGAGGGCCTTGGTCCTCCTCAAAGTAATGTGCCTCACCCTCTCTGAGGAGCGGAAGCGGGGAGGGAGGAAGGTGGAAGGAATGGGAGGAGGGGAAGGAGTGGGAATTGGGATTGGTATGTAAAATGAAAAAAGATTTATTTTTTAAAAAAATACAATTAAAAAAGAAAAAGAAAGTGACCATAGAGGCTTCTCCCAAAACTAAAACAAGAACTTCTGTTGAGATCCAGTTATATCACTGATGGTTTTACCAACAGACTCCAATTCAGCATGTCACAGAGACACAAGAAGGCCAGTGGCCAGTGCTCACTACAGCACTATTCCAGAGCTATATTATAGCACGGACATAGGGAACCATGAAGAGGATAAAGAAAATCGGGACTATATGTGACTTGGAAGTTCAAGTGTCTAAAGGGACAAAGTGAACTAATGAGATAGGCAAGGAGGATGGAGCACAGGGCATTTGTGTGCTATGGATGCTGGAGTCAGGCTCTGAAAAGCTGACATATGGAACCAGACTGATCTGAGTACAATGATAAAGGTAAATGTATAACATGCCCAAGAATCAGTGTGGCTAAGATGCCAAGACTATCTGTCACCTTGTAATGTTCTGTTCAGAAACATAGTGGCACACCCCCATAGCTAACCTCATTTACATTCAAGTATAGTTATGAATTCGACATTTATATTTAAATTATTTTATGTGTGTGTGCTTGTGTGAGTATATTCTGCCTGTGTGTGGGTGCCTGAGGAGGACAAACAGGTATCTGATTCCCTTGTGGTGATGTTCTCTGAGTTTGTGAGCCACCAGATGTAGGTGTCAATAACTGAACTTGGTCTTGGTCCTCTTGAGGATAACTGCTGAGCTGCCTCTCCAGTCTCCTGTCTTTGTTTTTTAATCTTCCTGAAAGTGTGCACGTGGATGCATGTGGAGGTCACAGGGCAACTTCAGGTATGAACCCTTGCTTTCCACCTGTTGAATCATTTACTGCTCAGTATGACAGGCTTTCTGGCTCATGAGCTTCTGGGAAGTTGTCCTGTCTCTGTCTTCATCTTGTCGTAGGAACACAGGGAACATATGTTACCATGCCTGGCTCTACATGGGTGCTGGGGATCCAGACTCGGGTCCTGATGATAGTTTACATGTGCTTTACCCACAGAACCATCTATCCAGTCCTACCTCTGCTTGAGGGAGTGAATTTGCTCCTTTCACTGTGTGGGTCCTGAGGATCAGACTCAGGTCATCGGGCTTGGAGAAAGCTGAGCCACCTCACTGGCTCTTTAGTTTCATTAAAAGAGTGAGTTACAGCAGCTAAAGATCCCTACCTTATGTAAATTCTGATATAAAAGTATGCATGTTAGGAAAAAAAAAACAACCTCTCAGTAAACAAAGTTTTGAATGGTAATTGGATATTGATCTTTTGTGAGGAAACCTTTGTTTATCTACAATAAAAGGAGGCCAACTGCATCCATATAAAATTTAAAATAATCTTTACTTCTTCAATTTAGCTCAATTTCTATGACTCGGAGAAAAGCAGCTATAATTTGAGAATGAGATGCAGACATTATTATTTCCCTCTGAATCTTGCAGTTTTTATTTCTTTCAGAGTATGTCACAAATGTTACTTGTTCTGGTGTATTACTTTGACATACATTATCTGACACATTTGATAGGTCAAAGAAATGACCTCCCAGAAAATAAGAGACTTACCTAAAACCTGCACACAGATCTATTCTGTGCAGCAGATCTACTACCAGAATCCAAGAATCCTAGCTCCTTCCTCGTGCTTGTCTCTTTGCTAACACGGTGCAATGGATGACTTTTGGCACTGAATTACAACTGTGACAATTAGTCATGATTTGTCATTTTTCTTCCCCAACATTTCACTCAGTCCAAAGGGCAAGGGCTTTGCATATCTTAGACAGGAATGCTGAATGACTCATGTCGACCATATTCTTCTATTCCCTGACGAAGTCTATCCTTCCTGACCGTAGGAGTCATTTTCTCACACAGCAGTTTATTAGACACAGATAAAGCATGCCATACTAACAGGATTACCTTTGAAAGCCTTCGTACTTGTCCCTCACAGCTGACTTATGACCTCAGTCTCTTCCCTACAAAGCAAGCTTTTTTTTGTGTACTGCTTCTATTGACAGTGTTAAGTGCCTGAAAAGTGCCTAATAATGTGATAAAATTCTTTAATCTTATATTTAGGAA